CTAAATCATAAGTTCAGAAAACTTTCTGGCTAGTGTTTTTTTCCATCCTGTTAAAGGTGAAGATTTGTTAAACAGGCCTGAAAAGGCCCTAGTGAGAAAGGAAAAAATTGATAAATTGAACCAAATTAAGATGAAGAATATCTACTCATTGAAAGACACCATTAGACTAGTGAAAAGATGGCTGGAGGTGGTTTTTCTATTTTTAGTAGAGACAGGTTCTCACTCTTGCTCAGGCTGGTCTTGAACGCATGAGCTCAAGCAATCCACCAGCTCAGCCTTCCAGAGTGCTAGGATTATAGGCGTGAGCCACCTTTTCACTTTTCTAAGCTCAGAAGTTCAAGACCAGCCTGAGCAAGAGTGAGACCCCATCTCTACTAAAAATAGAAAAAAACTAACCAGGTCTTGTGGTGGGTGCCTGTATTCCCAGCTACTTAGGAGGCTGAGACAAGAGGATCGCTCAAGCCCAAGAGTTTGAGGTTGCTGTGAGCTATGATGATGCCATAGCACTCTACCCAGGGAGACAGAGTGAGACTCTTCTTTAAAAAAAGGAAAGTAAAAAGGCAAGCCATGAGAGAGGGATATTTTTAATATCTATGGCTGATAGAAACTTGTATACAGAATATATTAAAATCCCTATAAATCAGTAGAGTCAAACATGCTCATTGGAACGGTGGTCTCTGTGTGTTTGTCAGTTGGGTTCATGGTCAGTGTTAGGACCAACCCCATCGAGTCCAACCAGATATGAAGAATTTTCTCATTCCCTACATTAAACACGGTGAGACCTAGGTCAACAGAATCCAGTAAAGTTAATAATCTTCCCCCGTTGCCTAAATGGGGGGTGATTCTAATTGGGAGACTCAGACTTTCCCTGGGCAGGACAAGACAGCGTGAGCACAGACCACCACAGGCAGAACAAGACAGAGCGGGCACAGACCTCCATGGGCAGGACAGGACAGAGTGGGCACAGACCTCCATGGGCAGGACAGGACAGAGTGGGCACAGACCTCCATGGGCAGGACAGGACAGAGTGGGCACAGACCACCACAGGCAGAACAAGACAGCCTCCAGAAATGGGGTATGCCAGTGCAAAAGGTAGAGGAAGC